AACATTTTTGCTGGGATCTTAGAAGTATATAGTACGAAGAATAAAGGATTTTTTTGTCCCTATTCGTTTGACTGAGCATAGCTAGTTCGCTACCAATAGCTCTATTGTGATTGGCTGAACTGAAGCAACAGGAAAATGCAGAGAATTCAATAAAACATTTGTGCCAGGGTGGGGAGGTAGACGTGAATGACTTCCCAAAACCAAAATCAAGGGAGGGTACCCTAAGGAGATAAATTCAGCAATGAAATTGTTACCTGAGCACAGGAGAGCGCATTACATGTTTGGCTACAGACATGAGCCACTTCAGTGTCACCGCAGTGTCCTTTCTCGAGTTCGTCCCCACAAGTTACAATGTTCTGAGCATCATAGCACTCGTCTAAAAAGAAAGCAATGTTATACACAAGGTGTGTCACAAACAAACATATCGTGTTTTAGGAACCTTTTGCCTGTGGAAAGGGGAGTAGGTTCTTCGTGTGTCTCGATCGGTAACAATTTACCTGATTCCCGCATATGGTTCTGTATATTCAATGATGAAAATTTCATTATGTTATGTTTCCAGGAAGGGTGATTTCTGCCTCTCTAGCCATTTTCTCTTGAATTTGATAGGCATAATCCATAGCCAGCATTTAGAGGTATAATCAGACACCACGTCATAATCAACAATTTTACGAAATTAAAATTTCGACCTACCACAACGCCCACAAGTCTTCCGACATTTTCCACTCCACGGTAGTTGATAACAATTCCCAGTTTTATTTCCTTCGGTGCAGAAGATCTCTTCCTGAAGGTCTTGACATTCTTAACAATAGAAGACAAATGATGACGTATATATCTGAGATGTTTCCTCGCCCCAATCCCCAGGGGGCTTTTACCCTTAGGGAGACTGGGGCGAGGTTATAGTTGTCGATTTACGCTGAATTATGACCTGCGATGTAGCTCATAAAAAAAAAAACTACAACCCTGGAAAATTTGTTCTAAAAACTTGAAAACCTTGTAAGCGGAACATCCAATTTTGACTTACAACCTTCCTACCGGATAATGTAGTCTTCTGTGGCGTAAAATTATTCATAAAACTTTGTACTGATGTAAAGTGGGGCAAAATCCACGGGATGCTAAATTATTTTTACGACCTTTGTAATCAAGGTTACAAGGTTCGATAAAACAAAACAGACGGTCAAAAGTTCATAAATTCTCGATCAAAATGCTCGTAAGAAATCTACAGCCAATCAGAATGACGAGTGCAGATATCCGTGCAAATCTATGGAAAGTCAGAATAGCTTTTCAGAGCCATTAGACAGACTAGCTGTGGTGGTGGCCCAGATAATCGTAAGTCTCGTTTTCATTTACTCGTCCCAGCTTTCCTCAATTGCGTTCCTACATATCGAAGGTGGGCTAGCGCTATTTGCAAACGATGGATAATTTCATAAATTTCTCGTGAACTGTTTTATTTACGGGCATGTCTGGTCTGTTATCAGAAAGGCGCCAGAAAATTAAATCCAGTGTTTTTTAAACAGCTATCAAACCTCGCGGCAAAGATTAAAGAAATCAGAATTAATTAAAGATCATTTACAGCCATCAAGGCCACTTTCTCGGCAAAGTTTCGCGTACAATCCCTCTTTCTTAAAGCCTTTCTTTCAAAGCATAGAGTTGAAATAAATCGCTGTAATAACTGTAACTCTGGGTTATTAGATGCATAATGTCAGCTGTCAGTCTCGCGATGCAATTTTCAGGACAAAATGTATTCTACTACAGTAAGTTATATCTGAATGCCTAGATCTCCAGGACCGAAATAAGACCAAAAACACATCCTAAACATTAAAACATAACTCAAAAGACTCTATTTCATCCTTATCTTTTTCAAGACTGTTGCTTACTGCAAGATCCTTTCACACAAATAATTTTTCACCTACCTAAATTGCTTTCGATGAGAAAAGCTCCCTGCATCAATAGAAGACTCACAAAAATCAAATTAGCGATTCCCATTGTGCCGAATTTCGGTTACTAAGGGGGCTTCTTCTTCAACTTCTCCGAATCAGGTCAACTTAAAAATGATTGTGAAATATTCACAAAGAAGATTTAATCTTATTTTGGATGAATAAGTAAATATCTCTTCTTAGTTGCTGGACCAAACAAATCCGTGTGTGTCACTTTGAATGACAACTTTTCAAAATACTGGCGACTGGATAAGTAAACAAAATAAAAGTCGAGCTTATGGTACCAGAAATGAGTAATAAGAGATCACGGTCATTAATTGGGATTAGCCGGAAATTACAGTATTCAGTCGATAAAAGAAACTTAGGATGAAATTTAAAATAGTAATTTTTCAGAGAATAACCGATATCGGAAAAGAAGACGAAAAAGCTATGTGTAAATCGGTGACAAATCATCTCAACAAAACAGATATAGATTTCCAAATATGTAGAATAGATATTGAAGGAGTTTAAACAAAAAGTATTTTACAATGGCTGATTAAAGACACGACCAGCTGAGGTGTTAATGAGAAAAATGAATGTCTTACTTACGAGTTAAATTTCCTATTCTTGATGAGTTCGATCAAACTTTTTATCGTTGCTCACGAAAACTTTAATATTTCATGAAAATTTATCAGAACATATCTCCCTGGCAGCGACTGACACCGCAAGTTATTTCACTTCCAATAATTGATGCGATACTTCCAAATGGCGATGCAAATTTGGCCGCGTTTTCCTGTTTGCGTTCAATCATCTGATTAACCCTGTACACCTTAACATCAGTATGCATATTCTCCATACTGTTCTCTATACATTTTCAAAGGTTCTGACAAGGACAATTTGTTTAACAATCAATGGCTTCTTTAGTCGGTGATCATTTCCGTTTTTCTCGTGATCTTAATGTGCGATTCAGTGGTGATAGTGTAGGAAGAAATTAGAGGCCAATTACACCCAGGGTCTTTGCAATTACGAGCGATTTCTCTCATCAAAATAATTTTTTTTTTTAATTCAATCCGGCTTTGAGTTCCACATCACGTATGGTTAAGTGATATTCATTCTGATCTTTGCAAGTGTGGCGAACTAAATCTCTTAATGTTACTGAGCTAACTAAACTTCTTCGGTAAAATGTTTACAACGTTAGATCTTTTTTATTGGATTTTGTACATTGTAAATTTTTGAATTTTAGAAAAATTGCTACATGTACTTCAGTCTCCGTTAGAAGTGGTAAGGTTTTTCAACTAACAAAATGACATGCGTCGATTTTTTGCTTTGCAATGTTTCGTGAATTCGTGAACAGAGAATGGTCAAGCCACATAAACTATTTCAAATCACAGGACTCTTCCAAAAGCCTGTTGCAGATGCGAAACTAAAAACTTCCCCCCTAAGGGATCGGTCGTTATTTGTAACCAGGGGAGGGGTAGGAAGATTTTGGTCGAGTCTTGATAAGATTTTCCTGATCCCAGTAACAGTTGATTGGCGGTCAATTCTCTACAGCCCCTTTTTATTCTCCGTTTTCCCTAAAAACCATTTGATACCCCAGAAATCCCCCGCCCTCCCCCCTCCCCCCTCGGGCGATAAAGAATGACTGGTCCGTAATTGTTTTTAACCGAACGACATTTACAAAAGCCTGCTGGTACTGCAAAGTTAAAACGTTCACCCCTTGTGTACAACAAACTCACGCGTAAACTAAGAAACTCAATTGCTTTATTTACAAAAGGATATAAATGGAACACAGAGACCAGTTTCCATACAAAGGCGTTTGTATGACTGTTGAGCAAAAAGGAGTTAAGCTTTTTATTAAAAAACAATAAGAACAAATCAGCTTGATTCTTTGGGGCTTGTGTTACGCGGCATTCCCTTTGCTTTGAGCTGCTTTCTTGGCTTTCACCCTCTCAACCAGGTCCTACAAGTCAGTGAAAGGCAAAAGAAAAAACAAAAAAATTTAATTACTCTCTGATTAGACTAGGAGCAGTCCCTTGCACCGCTTGGAACTCTGGGAATGATGCTTACTCCCAGAGTTCCGTGCGGCGCGCCATTAACATCTTTTTTCTTTCGCTGATTTTTTTTTATACCAACGCGACTGACTTCGTCGAAAATGGAGGACTGCTCGTAGTGTACTCTCTGATGTACTAAAACACACGTCCAGAGAAACATAAATAGGTCTTAAATGCATAGAGAGTAGACTACGAGTATGCAGTGAACTGAAGAGTTAGCTTAAATGACAGTTGTGTTCCATCAGCACTGCGCAGTTAAATTCCAGACCATATAACAAGAATTAACATCATAAACCCAAAGAAAATAGTCAGAGAGGACGCTGGGTTGTTCGAATACAGATTCAAAACAGGAATTCGATTTGATTCTCTCTGATTGGCTCAAAGAATTGGCACTGCTTTTAAATCAATATGAAGAACCTGAAGGGCCTAAGCCAATCGTGACTTAACCACATGCGCTGAGTTCCCGCGTTTTATGTCGGTCACGTCTGACCACACCCGCTGAATTCCCGCGCTTTGTGTCAGTCACGGTTTCTCCATCGGGCTCTCATTCTTTGGCGTTACTCGCCCTGGTGTGATTCGCCAATTGCATTACTTCGTTGTAAGGACTTATTTCGATCTCTACTCGATTGATTCGACAGGACGAACGATCTTAAACAAGTGAAAAGACCTAAATATATTTTTTCATGACACAGACCTTGTATCTTTTCATGCATTCCTTTTTGGTTCGTCCAGGGACCGCTTCAGCTATTCGTTCCCATCTTTCTGGTGTGCTCGTGGGGTACGTGCGCAGAGCATTCTCCAAAAGCTGGAAAATAGATTTGCAAATCAAATAAGTTGCTATAATTAACAAGGAAACGATAATAATTGGAGCAGTTTTCAATTGATTGTCGAAAAACTAAATCAAAGTAATTTCAGCAAACAGCGAGAACAAACGTTTGCTTGCGACTCTTAATAGAAAATAGCTATCTGCACTCTTTGACCTAAAAGAAACTAGAAATTATTGATTTCATTCTTAGACAAAAAATCTTACTCTTTGTTCCTCCGAAGTCCACGCAGACATTTGCTGAGCACATTCACCAGATTGGCTTGCTTAAACATGAGAAGAAAGACAATTCACAAATGTGAGCGTAAAGGAATAGCAAACCAATCACAAGAGCTGATTGGAACAAAGAAATATATCAGATGGAGCCAATGAGAACTTAGATTAAAGACAAGCAAATTGGCTGAAGCGCGGTTAAACGTGAACGACCAGGCCGTGACTGAATCAAAGAACCAGCAAATCAGAAACTAGGATTGTTTTGATGTGATGCAGACAGTTGAAAGCCAAAATAGTTTCAAAACAAAAGGTGAGTAACCTGGAAAGACTGAGCGTTAAATGACTGACTTGACCTTGCGTTACACCTAAACTGCGTGACCAAATATAAAACTATGACTTCCTAGCGTGACCTGCGTAACCAAGTACGACATTATAGCTTCATAGCTTCTTAAACTGCGCGACCGAGAGGCTTTTAACTTTGAATTATCGGGCGTGACAAACATGTTTATTTTTAATGGGCGTCAATCCCACTAAGAAATCAACAAACAGATGCACAAGCTAGCAATCCATAATCAAACATTTACAAGAGGAGACGTGTAATTATTTCAAAGATTAGCCACTCACCATCGTATCTGACTGTCAGATCAGGCTCTGAAGCTGCAGCAGCTTTGCCAGGTTGATGATCTTTGTCAAATTTCGCGAATGCATTTCGATTCACTTCCTGTTTCAGCGTAGGATCTGTTTGCAAACATTTCCCGTGTTAGAGGGGGTAAATTTCTAAAGGAACTGTGGAGCTGCGTCGGTGGAGTTTTTTGCAAGATAATTTGGTTTTCTCATCTGAGGTGATGATTTAAATAAGCCACCACCAAGCGTTTCTAAAGCTGACGTTTCGAGCGTTAGCCCTTCGTCAGAGCGAAAGGAGAGGACAATAGACTTTATATATGTAGAAGTGACGTCATACCTACAGACGATACTTTTATGCGCTCTTGTCTTTACAAGTGCAGCTCAGAAATATGCATAGTAAAACAATTATTGGATTCGGTTTTCGCGTGAAACCGATAATTATCAAGGCCTCAGTTTGTGTTATCCGCCTCAGCCTTCGGCTTCGGCAGATAACACAAATCTTTGGCCTTGATAATTATCGGTATCACGCGAAAACCGAATCCAATAATTGATAATTATCAACACGGTACATAAAACCAGATTCCCTGCATTCGAACTGTTTTACTTAAAAAGAAATTAACATGCAGACTGCTAAATAAATAAGCAAACAGATAAATTGAGTGCTACAAACCTAGCTTCTTCAAGTTCTTTACTTTTTTGATCACGTGTTTGGAATCTCGTAAAGTTCCAGTTTTGGCGTGCATGTTGACGTAATCAGCGATTACTTTCCACCTGGTTGCGAACAAGATCAAGAACAAACATCAAGGCAGAAAAGATCAGATTCCCGCTGACTATTGTACAATATGTCACGCGTAAATTAAATAAGTATTCACTTCTTCATTGCTTACTTTAATTCTTGAACTTCGCGTTCTATAAAATTTGCAAAAGAAGTATTTGTACCCTAGGATGTGAGACTTTTGGCGGGAGCCATGAGCAAGCGAAGATCACTCAGGTGTTTGCATTTGGTAGCGGTGGTTTTGGCGGGAATTTAACGGTGTGCCCCTGCAGTGGCCAGTCGCATTTGGCAACAGTAATTTTGGCGGGAAAATGACACAAGTCGTGATTGGTTCTAGTTTTGCATCTGATTGGTTAAAAAAGAGCCACGAGTTTTCTGGACCAATCACAGAGCGAATTAAAGCAAAGCTAAAGCTATCGACACTCAATTCATCGATGTTACGTTAGAGACTTTTTACAAGCTACCTTGAGGCGGTTCCTGCTGGAAACAGATTAACAGCTTTAATAAGAAGCTGAGTTTGATCCTCTGTCCAATCGTCATTGGGCATTTCGTCGTTTTCTTTGTTCTTTGAGCTCTGTTTTGTTTCCGCATTAGCTTCTTGTCTCATTTTTTCTCTCATTTGTTCCATCTAAGAGAATATTCGTGCATTGATAAACGAAACTGAATCAATTGGTAACTGAATCAACACAAAGTAGAAACACCGCATTTAACTCTCTAGTCTCCTTTACAATGCAAAAGCTAAATTCAAGCCAAAGATAAAGTTATCATACCTCTCTCTCGTAAATTTCCTTCACTTCATCCTTCGACTGCGCTTTTTCAATACCTTCTCTAAAGGACTGTAAACTATAAAAGCGACAGGCTTAATGTCAGATGGATAGAGAGTCATAAAACACAAAAATCGACAGTTAACCTTTTACCTCCCCAGATCTGATTGCTAATTCTCCCCTCCAGCTGCTACACACTTCCTTGTGAATTGGTTACGAGATTTTAAAGTTAGATCAAGGGAACAGCTTCTACCTGACAAGTTTGAGTATTCTCATTACCCGTTTGCCTTATAATGTGTGGATATTATGGGGAGAAGTGACATGTTAATCACTCCTGAGAGTTCATGGGTTAAAAATTTTATCTGGCGAGTTACCTTTCCAGCGAAATAACTTCAAGTAGTCTGTCCATAACTTCCATTTCACGTATCCTTGACTCTTCGTCTTGAACAAAATAATCGTAATTCTATAAAAAAGAACAAAAAATAAACATTTTTTTTTAAATTCAATCAGACATCGTACCAACCCAAAACCAAAAAAAAATTAAAAAAAAAAAGAATAAGAAATTCCAGGTAAAGTTATACCTTTATTGTGGTTCGTATCGTCTTCCTTTCTTTCTTCATTATATTCTTTATTTTCGTTTTTTCTACTTTGGCTGCCTGCGCCTAACAAAGAATTAAAGGTAAAACAAGGGAAACATCAGAACGTTCCATCCCTTAGAACTTAAAGAAGAAGGAGATTGGGAACTAATGTATCGCTTTCCCTATATCCCCACCCGCCAGAACCACGCGAGAAATTTTTAAGTGTTATAGTTTCCAGGGTCTCTCTCGCTCCGCTTCCGAGAGATGACGAAATCCTGCGCACAAGACTACTAATCATAAACATTAGTGACAAATTATCCAATTTGTTGGGAGATAAAAACAGAAAAGGGAGATTTTTCTTACCTTTTCTCTTGCTTCTTGCTCTTCTTTTTCTTTCAATTTCCTTTCATTTTCAAGAACTTCAAGTCTTAGCTGATGAGGCAAACGAATCAAACTTGGTTACCGCGTGTGAATAGTGAGCAGAAAGCACTCTTCGATTGAGAGTAATAAAACCAAGACCAAAGTAATCAAAACGACCAATCAGAAACGTGGAACACCTTTAAGAGCCAATGACAACTCAAAGTAAAACAATCAAATTACCTAAAGCGCGGGAAAATTCGGGCGCACAAAATGCTAATAGTATTTTGGTCTTGCATCTAATTGGATGAGAGGCTGACGCGAGATTTCTGGACTAGTCACCGAGCGAATTAAGGCAAAACAAAAGCAATTCAAAACAATTTTGGACACCAAATTGACAATTCTTTTTAAAGAAGCACAAGGAGCTACTTTAGAAAAGAAAGAAATGAAACTTTCACTGACTCGTTCTTTCTCTTCAGCGGCCGCCCGGGCCGCCTGTTCTTTCGCTTTCTTTTCGGCAAGTTTATTTTCTTTTTCTTCATCTTTAAATTTCTTTATTCTAAAATCACATGCATAAGCGTTATCTGCAACAGAGGGGAAATACGCATGCGTTAGAAACAGCACGAAATAAAAGTTATTTGAAAATGGCCTCTTCTTCTCTGTTAAAAGCAGTGGATGTGATTGTATTCTTCATTTTCACTACACGAATTTTGCGCTAACGAACTAATCAAGCTCTCGCACCAAACGAAATAGAACTTTTTGGAATTTGAGACCTTGAAAAAACTGTTAGTAATGATTCAAAAGTTCAATTCTAATGAGCTACAAAACATTTCTGGAATTCGTAGAATCTTACACGAGACTGTACTTGCTGCAAATTTATTTGGCAAATTTCTCATCCATCATTTCCCAACCATTCCCCAGATCTAAAGTGCTTCACATCCCTTCCCATTCTCTGAAGCAAATTTTGCATTAAAATTACAACCCTCAATGAAATAAATAAATTACCATAATTTATGACATAGATTAATTCATGATTAATAAATTAGGGTTACCATGGTGAGCACTCACCAACTAGAGTCCTTATTCGAGCAACTTCTTCTTTTTTCCTCTTTTGTCTCATTACTTTGTTTTGTTTTTCAATCCACCGCCTCTCATCACGACTGTAAAAAAGCATGATTACAATTTTTAAATAAATTGCAAATCTTTGGTTTGTCAAATCCTCTTTTCATATTACCCAGGTGCTATGTGTTTGGGATTGTTTATTTTACATCACAAATCAACAACCAGGGAGGCTTAAATTGTTAGACAAATTTTCCTTGTCAGTGCCAAATTATAGGAAATGCAGAGAGGAGTGTATGGAGAATTTGCATTCTGATGCTAGCAAAATAAAGGGTTACTACATGTAGAAGAGAACAAATAAACCCAGCCAATCAGACACACATCATTTTTTTTATATATGAATCATTAACCTTGTTACTCCATCTTCTCAAAACTGGTATCAAAACAAATGTATGGAAATCATTTGAAAGGATTTGTACCTTGAGCCAAGGGGACACATCATATTGTTTAAAATTTAACCTTATTACTCCATCTTCTCAAAACTGGTATCAAAACAAATGTATGGAAATCATTTGAAAGGATTTGTACCTTGAGCCAAGGGGACACATCATATTGTTTAAAATTTAACCTTATTACTCCATCTTCTCAAAACTGGTATCAAAACAAATGTATGGAAATCATTTGAANAATAAATAAATTACCATAATTTATGACATAGATTAATTCATGATTAATAAATTAGGGTTACCATGGTGAGCACTCACCAACTAGAGTCCTTATTCGAGCAACTTCTTCTTTTTTCCTCTTTTGTCTCATTACTTTGTTTTGTTTTTCAATCCACCGCCTCTCATCACGACTGTAAAAAAGCATGATTACAATTTTTAAATAAATTGCAAATCTTTGGTTTGTCAAATCCTCTTTTCATATTACCCAGGTGCTATGAGTTTGGGATTGTTTATTTTACATCACAAATCAACAACCAGGGAGGCTTAAATTGTTAGACAAATTTTCCTTGTCAGTGCCAAATTATAGGAAATGCAGAGAGGAGTGTATGGAGAATTTGCATTCTGATGCTAGCAAAATAAAGGGTTACTACATGTAGAAGAGAACAAATAAACCCAGCCAATCAGACACACATCATTTTTTTTATATATGAATCATTAACCTTGTTACTCCATCTTCTCAAAACTGGTATCAAAACAAATGTATGGAAATCATTTGAAAGGATTTGTACCTTGAGCCAAGGGGACACATCATATTGTTTAAAATTTACTTTCAAATCATTGAAATGTACAACTTACTTCTCCCCTTTCTCTTTTTCTTCTTCATCTAGATAGGAATATTCTCTCCAAGAATCAAAACTATACCTTAATAAAAATGAAAATAAATTTGTAAAAAAAAACATGAGTGTCTGCACATAAATTACATTTTTAGTTCTGACTAGCTTAATTACAGTGAGACTCAGAAAACGGTGATCACCTTGATTTGATTACATCAGGTGAATCATGTGCTGATCAATCACAATAAAAATCTGGAAAAAATGGGCAAACCTCAAACCAAAACTTGAAACTGTTACTGTTTGCATCCCTTCTTAGCTTTTTCCTTGTAACACAACAATATTCCATTTACGTAAGATGCACGATCCTCGCAGTAATGAGTGCTATTTATGCAATAGCGAAAATCAGACTTGAAAAAAATCAGGCCTGTATGGGATTCGAACCACTGACCCTTTTTTTTAAGGTCTGATTTTCCCTACTGCATAAATAACGTTCTCTACTGCAAGGATCGTGCATCATAGTCGTATCTATAACCGCAGTTCAAAATATATGAACTTCATATATTCATCATATCTAATATTCCATTTAACAAATAGATTCCACATTGCAGTGAGATTGTTCAGTAATACACAGTGTAGATCAGATATGATGTCAAAATGTAATAAGAACAATAAATGGCAGAAGAGTAGGGTGTAGGGGGTTGGGTACAGTAAAAATCTTACCAAAAGCTATAAAAATTATCGACTTCTTCAAATGTTGAATTTACATTTCCTAAAGGTGGGACAGGTTGAACTTTGGACCATCTGCGAAAAAAAAAAAAAAAAGTAGAGAATAATGCACTCAACTATACAATGGAAGGTGTAAGAGTACTTGAAGGTCAACCGCTGACATTGCAAGCTTAAGCTCTTTGAGAAAGCATATATATATATATATATATATATATATATATATGCCTGAAGATGCACTTATCCCCTGAAAAAAAAAAAAAAACATACAGTTCACCAACATGTAATCTAGAGCTGGAAGAAAATATTATGCCTGTGTGTGTTAAGTAAACACTTTTTACTGATTGCAACTTCAGTGGGCAAAAGAGGAAAATATGTTGAGAATTTTACCTTGAATTTCTCTCAAACACTGGGCCATAAACTTCGAAAAAGTTACTCCGCGAGTTGGCATTCACTGAAGGGATGGTATCATCAAACATTGGATCCACACTATCATAGGCTCGCCGCTTCTCTTTGCTGCTTAAAATATCATTCGCAGCAGTGATGCATGCAAACAGATCCTCGTCAGAAAATGTCTTCTTGAAGAGCTCTTCCTTTTTGGTCTTCTTGTCTGGATGATGTTTGAGCACCATCTTCCTGACTGGGAAACAGAATGCAACAATGGAAGAATGAGCTCAATGCCTGAGTTTTCAGTGAATTGTCAAGTCTGAAGGAACTTACAGTTGTTTACAGACTGTTAACACTGTACCCTGTTTCTAAACAATGAACAAACATGTTTACAGCACCCACTACCCCATAAGAAGGGGTCTGGTCTGTGGCAGGTTACTCTCCCCCCCACCCTCTTCCCATACAACTCAAATTCCAGGGGTTTCATTAATTTTTTCACCAGGAGGGCAACTGGTTTTCACAGGTGGGCAAAACGTTTTGAACTAAACTTCTTTATAAGATAAACCTTCCTCCAGATTGTTAAACCAGGTGGGCAAAACTGTCCTTACAACCGGTCAATTTGGCCGGTGCTCAGCCCTTAATGAAACCCCTGAAGTTCTGTGCTATTTTTCATCTGTTAACCCTCAGAATGTATAAGCTGCATATCTAAACTTAGGTGCACTTTTTTTTGTACTCCAGGAGTTAAGTACACAAAGTAATACTTACATGCCTTCTTGATGTCTGAAGCAGTGGCCCTATGTCTGAGTTTGCCAAGTCCAAGAACCTTGTAATGATCCTGGTGCTAAGATAAGAGATGCGTAATTGAATTGCTCACTGATTAAATGACTGACTGACAGACTGATTCATTGGCTGAGTAATAATCCAGCTGCAGACAGACAAATCAATCAACTGATTGATTGACTTACTGACTGAAGGACTAAGGAATGGATGGTGTGGTGCACAGAAGAATGCACTGACTAACTGACAGACCAGCTGACCAATTGACTCACTGCACGCTACCTGACAACCTGATGTAGTGAATGATTAACTAACTGATTGACAAATTGATTGACTGACTGATAGACAGACTGACAGACTGATTATCTGACTGACAGAACGACCGACAGACTGGCAGAACGACCCACAGACTGGCAGAAGGACCGACAGACTGGCAGAACGACCGACAGACTAGCAGAACGACCGACAGACTGGCAGAACGACCAACAGACTGGCAGAACGATCGACAGACTGGCAGAATGACCAACAGACTGACAGAACAACCGACAGACTGGCAGAACAACTGAAAGACTGAGAGATTAAATAGCAGACAACATAGCAACTGACTAACAGCCTGACTGACTGATTACTTGACTTATCGACAGACTAATTTGAATATATCAACAAAGTTGAAAAGGTAAATTGGCCACTGTTACCATTATAAAAGCTGACCTTTCAAGCATTAGCCCTTCGTCGGAGCGAATAGAGGAATTGTGGGTTGTGTGTGCTTTTAAAGGCAGAAAATGGAGCTACGTGATTGGTGGGAACATGGCAACGAGAAAAACACGAATAAATTAGTGGAATGAAAAGCGTTCGTTGATACCTGTGGGATTTAGACTGCCGGTTTGAAAGATGAGCCTCTGCTCAAGAGTTTGCGGCTTATTTCGTTACCCCCACCGACGCAGCGCCAAACAGTTTCTTTGGAAACTATCAGCCTTTATTGACGGACTGACAACTGACTGACTAGCAGTTGTTTTCAGACTTTTACCTTACAGTCTGTAGGATCTAAGGTGAGAAGAAAATTATGATCTTCTTCATCAGATGAAAATCCTCCTTCAGAGCCAGCACTTGAACTAGCACTGGAGCTGCTATGATGAGAGGACAAGCCATGCTGACGGCGGCGAATATTTGCTTCATACCATCGACCAACAGGCTCAAATCGTAGAGAAGTTGGTGCTGCAAATGGAAAACAAAAATACCACTCAAATTCTGAGTTCAAATTCAGGATAGTTACCTTTGCAAACTTTTTAACTCCCATGAATGACTAAGACAGAATTTCTCTTCACAGCATAAATACAACACCAAGTAGACAAGTGATATAAGTAAACAAAAATATCAAATAGGAGGTTATAAGTTGATCCAATATCAAATTCTCCCCACTATCATCGCAACAATTGTATGGCAGACAGTAAGGAGAATTGCTAATAGGATCTATGGTTGGTCCTCATCTTTGATTAATCAGAGTACACATACAAGGCATCTCATCTTTGATTAATCAGAGTACACATACAAGGCATCTCATCTTTGATTAATCAGAGTACACATACAAGGCATCTCATCTTTGATTAATCAGAGTACACATACAAGGCATCTCATCTTTGATTAATCAGAGTACACATACAAGGCATCTCATCTTTGATTAATCAGAGTACACATACAAGGCATCTCATCTTTGATTAATCAGAGTACACATACAAGGCATCTCATCTTTGATTAATCAGAGTACACATACAAGGCATCTCATCTTTGATTAATCAGAGTACACATACAAGGCATCTCATCTTTGATTAATCAGAGTACACATACAAGGCATCTCATCTTTGATTAATCAGAGTACACATACAAGGCATCTCATCTTTGATTAATCAGAGTACACATACAAGGCATCTCATCTTTGATTAATCAGAGTACACATACAAGGCATCTCATCTTTGATTAATCAGAGTACACATACAAGGCATCTCATCTTTGATTAATCAGAGTACACATACAAGGCATCTCATCTTTGATTAATCAGAGTACACATACAAGGCATCTCATCTTTGATTAATCAGAGTACANTCTCCCCACTATCATCGCAACAATTGTATGGCAGACAGTAAGGAGAATTGCTAATAGGATCTATGGTTGGTCCTCATCTTTGATTAATCAGAGTACACATACAAGGCATCTCATCTTTGATTAATCAGAGTACACATACAAGGCATCTCATCTTTGATTAATCAGAGTACACATACAAGGCATATGTTCCAAAAATCTTGTGCCCATTTCTCTGTCATGATGCCCAGTTTTGAAAATTTCTGTGCGATTGTTGCAAGTACAGTAAATGAAGAACCTAAAATTAACTTAAGAAAAAATTGCCAGGAGCGAAAAAAAATGTAATAAAGCCCTTGAGTCTTGTATTACCCTCACATAGGAACACACAACTCATGTAGTTAAGCGCTTGAAGGCGAGTTCGTAATTTTCCGTTATTTCACCTTTCCGGTTTTGAGGCCGAAGGACCCATGCATAATTATGTTCAGTGCGTACATGTGCAAGAATATTTTTTTAGATTTTTTGATTTTTTTTGTTCTTAAAGTCCCGGCAGTGGTATGAAAGATTAAATTTTTAATCAAGCTCATCACTCATCGAGCCCTGCCTTATCATTTTAGGATCAAAATCGTGCAGAATTTTAAATATTCTCCTTATCTGTATTATGTTGTAAACCCCTTGATGAAACGCGAGTTGTCACTTTCCAGCGTCAATGCTTGATAATGCAAACCCATATACACAGTAATATGAGCGTTAGAGTACTAACCTGATAAACGGCAAAGTGCTAAGCTTTTTTCACCTTCGTTGGCCGGCGGAAGAGCCATTATTTCGACTGAAAGTTCTCCCCTAAATGCTGCCGCTCAATCCGCCATTTTGGCCAGACGCAAGCACGCGATTTCAGCGGTTGACAACACGGCGTATGCGCAAATCAGAGTTGGAATGGCGCGCTTTCGTAAGATTTTGCTTCCGTGATGACAGTGTTCCTACGGGTGTAGTGAACATTTTTAGCGTTTTAATTTGATGCAATATGTCGTCATTTTCCGACGATCCACTTACATTAACGAAAGATCAGCTAAAACGTGAACTAAAGGCAAACGGTATTTCACTTCCGCGGGCTGAGCAAAAAAAATCCTTTTACGTTGACTTGTACTTGGAGCATTTTACTTCGCAAAATGGAGATGAAGAATTTTCTTCCGATGAAGAGGTGCCTCAGTATTCTTCGATGCGAGCCAGCGAGGTACCTACTTACTCACGTTCTCCTGTAATATATTCAGCTATAATATTTTAATATTTTAAGGCGGCGAAGAGGGTGTTTTCATCCTTAAAATAGGTTTGCTAGTTAATGTTTTGGCGTTTGCGGTTTTGGTGGCCAATTTGTTCATTTGCAAACATTCTGTGATTTGTCCGTTCAATTCCAGCAGCAGGTTTCTTTCCGAATGTGGCTTTGTTTTGTTTCGTTTGTGAAACGAACGTGTGGCTTCTTTTCAACAAACTCTACTTTTAAAAACAACTTTACTGGATCTGACGATTTCATCGCCAAAAAATTCGCTTGTTAGACTTCATGGCTTCACTTCGTAATTGACACAAAAGTCTTCAAACTGAAGCAAAGATTTAGCTTATACAAGTTGGCTCTGCTGCGCCCTGGGTATATCATTGAGAATATTAGCATTACATTGCTATAAAATGCCAACTGCCGAACAAGTAAGGAACTTATAGTGTTATAATTACTTAAACGTTCTGTCGTATCGAATTCAACATGCTAAATTAGACTACAGATTTTACACCAGATGCCATTTATTATAGCTATTGCATGTCAGTTTTGTACAGTGACTTTTTCCTTTCTTTCCCTGTTACCTCATCATATTTTTGTTAAGAATAACGATTGCATATTCCATGAAAGATTATATGCAAACTGATAATTAAGCATGCTCATTTAGCAATTTAGCAGTCAGTGAAAAGGTGATAGCAGCAATAAATTGGCTTGTAATTGAGCATGGTGACTGAACAATGTAGGAACATCAGGTTCTCTTAATTTTTGCTTCACCAGCCATTAAAGAAATGAGAAACATCAACTCAATGAAAGCAAAAAATAATGCAAAACAGCCATAGCAGGATAAAGGGAAAGTATTAAGGTTTATATGTTTATTTATGCAAGAAAATTGGTAAGGAGGAATCAGACTGATTCCAGAGTTGTTCGTCTTCCATCTGCCTGCTTCAGAGATTGAATGGAACCTAAATGTTGCTACGTCAGCTCAACACCCAAGGTTTTCATAAAGAAGTGTTGTAGTTAGAGAAGAAGTTCATGTCATTAAAATTTAGCCAGAAAATAGTGTCCATGTAATGGCTGAAAAACTCTCTCAGGGCTCGACGCTAACTTTTCAACTTACGAGCCAAGTGCCTAGTGAAATCTTAGATGCTTTTAGATGTTACAACAATTTCAGTCTGTTTAGTAGCCAAACTGTTTAGTGGAAATTGAAAACCACTAGCCAAAACTGAATTTCTAGTAATCTGTGGCTAGTGGGCTACTTTTGGTGTCAAGCCCTGTCTCTGACAAATGAATAAAGGCTGATAGTTTTTAAAGAAACTGTATGGGGCTGCGTCGGTGGGGGTAACAAAATAATTTGAATATATCAACAAAGTTGAAATGGTAATTTGGCCACTGTTACAATTATAAAAGCTCCAACAAAGGGCTAACGCTCAAAATGTCAGCTTTTATAATCGTAACGGTGGTCAATTTACCATTTCAACTTTGTTGATATTTAACAATTACTCCACAAGCGCGCGTTGGATATGAGATGATAGATAGCCAACAAGGCGCGTAGCGCCGAGTT